ATAATTCCCCAATACTTCCCGAATGTTTCCCCAATAACTCCCGAATCTTTTCCAAATCACTCCCGAATAACTCGGGGCGGATTCCCGAACCCCTCGGGCGCCGCAGCCGCCGCCGGGCCGCGGAGCCACGCGGAGGACCGGCTCTTCCAGCGCCTTTTCTCGGGATACAACCGCTGGTCCCGGCCCGTTCCCAACACTTCCGACGTCGTCATCGTGCGCTTCGGCCTCTCCATTGCCCAGCTCATCGACGTGGTGCGTCGCTCCCGCCCTCCGCGCGCCGAATTCCCGGGATTCCGCGGCTGAAATTCCTGGGATTCTGAGGTTGTAATTCTCGGGATTCTGGGGTTGTAATTCCCAGGATTCCGGGGTTGTAATTCCCGGGATTTTGGGGTTGTAATTCCTGGGATTCCAGGGTTGTAATTCCTGGAATTCCAAGGCTGAAATTTCCGGAATTCCAAGGCTGAAATTCCCGGGGTTCTGGGGGTTGTAATTCCTGGATTTCCAAGGCTGAAATTCCCAGGGTTCCGCGGCTGAAGTTCCCGAGGTTCCGCGGCTGAAATTCCCGGGATTTCACAGTGTCAAATTCCCGGGATTCCGCGGCTGAAATTCCCGGGATTCCGCGGCGGAAATTCCTGGGATTCCGGGGTTGTAATTCCTGGGATTCCGAGATTGTAATTCCCGGGATTTCACTGTGTCAAATTCCCAGGATTCCGTGGCTGAAATTCCCGGGATTCCACGGCTGAAATTCCCGGGGTTCCTCGGTTGTAATTCCCGGGGTTCCAGGGTTGTAATTCCCGGGATTCCGGGGTTGTAATGCCCGGGATTCCGAGGTTGTAATTCCCGGGATTCCGCGCCTGTAATTCCCGGGATTCCGGGGTTGTAATTCCTGGGATTCCAAGGCTGAAATTCCCGAGATTCCGGGGTTGTAATTCCCGGGATTCCACGGCTGAAATTCCCGGGGTTCCTCAGTTGTAATTCCTGGAATTCCGGGGTTGTAATTCCCGGGATTCCGGGGTTGTAATTCCTGGAATTCCATGGCTGAAATTCCTGGGATTCAGGCTTTGTAATTCCCGGGATTCCGGGGTTGTAATTCCCGGGATTCCGGGGTTGTAATGCCCGGGATTCCGAGGCTGAAATTCCTGGGATTCAGGCTTTGTAATTCCCGGGATTCCGGGGTTGTAATTCCCGGGATTCCGCGGCTGACAGAGTTGTAATTCTTGGGATGCCATGGCTGAAATTCCTGGGATTCTGGAGTTGTAATTCCTGGAATTGCAAGGCTGAAATTCCCGGGATTCCGCGGCTGAAATTTCTGGGATTCTGGGCTTGTAATTCCCGGGATTCCGGGGTTGTCATTCCCGGGATTCCGGGGTCGTGATCATTCCAGGGACACCTCCCACCATCCCGGGGTGCTCCAGCCTTTCCTTGGACACTCCTGGCGATTCTCTGGGAATTCCAGCCCAGCCGGGAATTCCTTCCCAAGATCCCACCATCCCAAGCTCCCCTTTCCCACTGGAAGCCATTCCCTGGCTCCTGGCCCTCCAGCCCTTTCCCAAATCCCAGCTCTCCTGGAGCCTCTGGAAAAGGCTCCAAGGATTCCCTGGATCCTTCCCTGATCCAGCTGCACATTCCCAGCTCTCCCAGCCTGGCAGTGGATCCATCCCCATCCCAACTCCTCCTGGAGAAGGAATTTTGGGAATTCCCTGGGAATTGGGGACTCCAGGAAGGGTCTCCCTTCCCTTTTCCATCCTGGAATTCCATAAAAATCCCTGGAGGGATCCTGAGCGTCCTTGATCCCAGAATCCCCTGTCCCATATCCCATATTCCCATATTCCCACATCCCTTTATTCCCACCTCTCTCCCCTTTCCCGATCCCTTTCCCACCAAATCTAATTCCCTGCTGCCCTCTAGTGACCACAAATCCCGGGAAAACTCATCCCGGGAAAACAAATCCCGGTGGGGGCCGGAATTTTGGGATCCCCTGGAATTCTGGGGCAGTCCCTAAATCCCTCGGGATCTCCCGGCTCATCCCCGTTTCCCGCCGCAGGATGAGAAGAACCAGATGATGACCACCAACGTCTGGCTGAAGCAGGTGCCGGGAATGGGATTTGGGATCCAATTTGGGAATGGGATTTGGGAGTGGGATTTGAGATCGGGATTTGGGAATGGGGTTTGGGACTGGGATTTGGGATCAGGATTTGGGAATGGGATTTGGGATCAGGATTTGGGAATGGGATTTGGGATCAGGATGTGGGTCCGGGATTTGGGAGTGGGATTTGGGAATGGGATTTGGGACTGGGATTAGGGACCAGGATTTGGGAGTGGGATTTGGGACCGGGATTTGGGAACGGGATTTGGGACTGGGATTAGGGACCGGGATTTGGGAGTGGGATTTGGGACTGGGATTTGGGATTGGGATTGGGGATCGGGATTTGGGACTGGGATTGGGGATCGGGATTTGGGAGTGGGTTTGGGAATGGGATTTGGGACTGGGATTTGGGATCAGGATTTGGGAATGGGATTTGGGGGTTGGATATGGGAGTGGGATTTGGGACTGGGATTTGGGATCAGGATTTGGGATCAGGATTTGGGTCCGGGATTTGGGAGTGGGTTTGGGAATGGGATTTGGGAGTGGGTTTCGGAATGGGATTTGGGACTGGGATTTGGGATCAGGATTTGGGAATGGGATTTGGGAGTGGGATTTGGAAATGAGATTTGGGATCGGGATTTGGGTCTGGGATTTGGGAGTGGGATTTGGGAATGGGATTTGGAGGTTGGATTTGGGAATGGGATTTGGGACCGGGATTTGGGAGTGGGATTTGGGGGTTGGATTTGGGAGTGGGATTTGGGGGTTGGATTTGGGAGTGGGATTTGGGAATAGGATTTGGGAATATCCCTGCCCAGGGTGGTTTGGGGACATCTCCATGGATCTTCTCCACGGATCTGCTCCGAGGATCTGATCCGTGGATCTGCTCGGCGTTCCCGGCAGGAATGGAGTGGGAGTGGGATTTGGGAATAGGATTTGGGAATATCCCTGCCCAGGGTGGTTTGGGGACATCTCCATGGATCTGCTCCGAGGATCTGATCCGTGGATCTGCTCCGAGGATCTGATCCGTGGATCTGCTCGGCGTTCCCGGCAGGAATGGAGTGACTACAAGCTGCGCTGGGATCCGGCCGAGTACGACAACGTCACCTCCATCCGGGTGCCCTCCGAGATGATCTGGATCCCGGACCTCGTCCTCTACAACAAGTGAGCCACGCTGCCGGGACCGGGAATTCCCGGGAGAGCTGGGAATTCCCTACATGCCTTCCCTTCCCATCCCATCCCTTCCCATCCCATCCCATCCCATCCCATCCCATCCCATCCCATCCCATCCCATCCCTCCATCCCATCCCATCCCATCCCATCCCACCTTCATCCCTTCTCCAGCCAAGGCTCATCCTAAGGCCATTCCTGACCATTCCCTGTTTTCCAGCGCCGACGGCGAGTTCGCCGTGACCCACATGACCAAGGCCCACCTGTTATCCCGTCCCATCCCATCCCATCCCATCCCACCTTCATCCCTTCTCCAGCCAAGGCTCATCCCAAGGCCATTCCTGACCATTCCCTGTTTTCCAGCGCCGACGGCGAGTTCGCCGTGACCCACATGACCAAGGCCCACCTGTTATCCCGTCCCATCCCATCCCATCCCATCCCATCCCATCCCATCCCATCCCATCCCACCTACATCCCTTCTCCAGCCAAGGCTCATCCCAACCCCATTCCCGCCCATTCCCTGTTTTCCAGTGCTGACGGCGAGTTCGCCGTGACCCACATGACCAAGGCCCACCTCTTCTGGGACGGCACGGTCAAGTGGGTGCCGCCGGCCATCTACAAGAGCTCCTGCAGCATCGACGTCACCTTCTTCCCCTTCGACCAGCAGAACTGCAAGATGAAGTTCGGCTCCTGGACCTACGACAAGGCCAAGATCGACCTGGAGAACATGGACCACCACGTGGACCTCAAGGACTACTGGGAGAGCGGCGAGTGGGCCATCATCAACGCCGTGGGCACCTACAACTCCAAGAAGTACGACTGCTGCACGGAGATCTACCCCGACATCACCTTCTACTTCGTCATCCGGCGCCTGCCGCTCTTCTACACCATCAACCTCATCATCCCGTGCCTCCTCATCTCCTGCCTCACCGTCCTGGTCTTCTACCTGCCCTCGGACTGCGGCGAGAAGATCACGCTCTGCATCTCCGTGCTGCTCTCCCTCACCGTCTTCCTGCTGCTCATCACCGAGATCATCCCGTCCACCTCGCTGGTCATCCCGCTGATCGGCGAGTACCTGCTCTTCACCATGATCTTCGTCACGCTCTCCATCATCATCACCGTCTTCGTGCTCAACGTGCACCACCGCTCGCCCAGCACGCACGCCATGCCGCGCTGGGTCCGCAGCCTGTTCCTGGGCTTCATCCCGCGCTGGCTCTCCATGAAGAGGCCGCCGGCGCCGCCGGCGCCGCCGCGGGAGGGGACGGCAGGGCAGTACGACCACGCCGGGGCGCGGCTCAGCGCGTCGCGCTGCTGGCTGGAGACCGACGTGGATGACAAGTGGGAGGAGGAGGAGGAGGAGGAGGAAGAGGAGGAGGAGGAGAAGAGCTATCCCAGCCGCCCCGAGGAATCCAAGGAAACGCAATTCCGCTACGGCCCAGGCGGGAAAGAAAGCGGGGGTTCGGGATCACGCGGATCGTCCAAGGGGAAGGAGGAGGAGGAGGAGGCGGAGGAGGAGAAGGAGGAGGAGGAAGGCTCGGAGCAGGGCTTGGCGCTGTCTCCCAGGATGCTGAAGGCCCTGGAGGGGGTGCAGTACATCGCGGATCACCTGCGGGCCGAGGACGCCGACTTCTCCGTGAGTCTTGGGAGACGGGGATGGAGGCCCCAAAATTGGGAAGGGAAGATCTGGGAGCCACGGATGGAGCTGGAGATGCCAAAATTGGGAAGGGCAGTTGTGAGAGCCATGGATGGAGCTGGAGATGCCAAAATTGGGAAGGGCAGTTGTGAGAGCCATGGATGGAGCTGGAGATGCCAAAACTGGGAAGGGCAGTTGTGACAGCCATGGATGGAGCTGGAGATGCCAAAATTGGGACCCACGAATGGGGCTGGAGATCCCAAAAATTGAATGGGATATTCTGGGATCCATGGATGGGGCTGGAGGTCCCAAAATTGGGAAGTTCGGGGATACACAGATGGGGTTAGAGATCCCAAATTGGGAAGGGCATTTGTGGGAGCCATGGATGGGGCTGGAGGTCCCAAAACTGGGAAGAGCATTTCTGGGATCCTTGGATGGGGGTGGAGATCCCAAAACTGGGAAGTTCTGGGGTCTGTGGATGGGGCTGGAGGTCCCAAAAATGGGACCAATGGGTGGGGCTGGAGATCCCAAAAATTGAATAGTTCTGGGGTCTGTGGATGGGGGTGGAGATCCCAAAATTGGGAAGGGAAGGTTTGGGATCCATGGATGGGGCTGGAGATCCCAAAATTGGGAAGGGAAGATCTGGGAGCCACGGATGGACTTGGAGATGCCAAAATTGGGACCCACGAATGGTGCTGGAGATGCCAAAAATGGAATGGGAAGTTCTGGGATCCAAGGAGGGAGCTGGAGATGCCAAAATTGGGAAGAACAGTTCTGGGAGCCACAGATGGGGCTGGAGATCCCAAAATTGGGATGGATCTGGGATCAATGGATGGGGCTGAAGGTCCCAAAATTGGGAATTCCCAAAATTGGGATGGATCTGGGATCAATGGATGGGGCTGAAGGTCCCAAAATTTGAAATGGAAGATCTGGGATCTGTGGATGGGGGTGGAGACCCCAAAAGTGGGAATGGAATATCTGGGATCTGTGGATGGGGCTGGAGGTCCCAAAAATACTGGGATGGGGCTGGAGATCCCAAAATTGGGAAGGGCGGTTCTGGGATCCAGGTTTTGTTCCTGACATCCCAAAACTGGGAAGAGCCGTTCTGGGATCCCATTTTGGTTCCTGATATCCCAAAAATGGGAAGGGCAGTTCCGGGACCCATGGTTGGTTCCCAAGGACCCAAAACCAGGGAGAAGATCCGTGATCCATCTCCCACCACGTTCCCGCTCTGCAGGATCAGTCAAGGGTTCCTCCGGCTCCCGCTGCCTTTGGGAATGTTGGAGATCCCTCTCCCACCCTTGGCACCCTCAGAGGCCGCATTCCCGCTTTTCCCAAAGTAGATTTGGAAAACCCCGTGTGGGATCAGCCCCGCCCTGGAGACCTCCACCCCCCCACCTCCGGATTTCTGGGAAAACTTCCCAATTTTTCCCAGAAACGCGGTGTCTCCTCACGCCGAGGAGATCCCCGGGAAGCTCTGCTTCGTCTCCTAACCTCGCCAGATTCCCGGGAAGGGATTCCCGAGGGATTCACCGCCCTTTTCCCGCCGGCAGGTGAAGGAGGACTGGAAGTACGTGGCCATGGTGATCGACCGGATCTTCCTGTGGATGTTCATCATCGTCTGCCTGCTGGGCACCGCGGGGCTCTTCCTGCCGCCCTACCTGGCCGGGATGATCTAGGATCCCGGCTGGAATGCCGTGGGAATGGCGGGAATGGAGGGAATGGAGGGAATGGTGGTGGCCGCATCCCGCAGGATGATGGTGGTGGGGACGTGGAGCTGTGGGGAATCTCCGGTGGGGATGGAAGGTGGAGAAGGGGATGGGGAGAGGGGTGGCCTTGGGATGATGTGGGATATGGGGATGATCCCGTGATCCCAGGATCCCACGATCCCAGGAAGTTGTGGGAGAGGGATAAGGCTTCGGGTGGTCCGTGCAGAGGGGACACAGACATGATCCCATAATTCCATGATCCCATAATCCCATGATTCCAATCCCACATGATCCCAGGAAATTGTGGGACAGGGATAATGCTGTGGATGGTCCATGCAGAGGGGACACGGACATGATCCCGTAATCCCATAATCCCATGATTCCAATCCCACATGATCCCAGGAAATTGTGGGACAGGGATAATGCTGTGGATGGTCCATGCAGAGGGGACACGGACATGATCCCGTAATCCCATAATCCCATGATTCCAATCCCACATGATCCCAGGAAATTGTGGGACAGGGATAATGCTGTGGATGGTCCATGCAGAGGGGACACGGACATGATCCCGTAATCCCATAATCCCATGATTCCAATCCCACATGATCCCAGGAAATTGTGGGACAGGGATAATGCTGTGGATGGTCCATGCAGAGGGGACACGGACATGATCCCGTAATCCCATAATCCCATGATTCCAATCCCACATGATCCCAGGAAATTGTGGGACAGGGATAATGCTGTGGATGGTCCATGCAGAGGGGACACGGACATGATCCCGTAATCCCATAATCCCATGATTCCAATCCCACATGATCCCAGGAAATTGTGGGACAGGGATAATGCTGTGGATGGTCCATGCAGAGGGGACACGGACATGATCCCGTAATCCCATAATCCCATGATTCCAATCCCACATGATCCCAGGAAATTGTGGGACAGGGATAATGCTGTGGATGGTCCATGCAGAGGGGACACGGACATGATCCCGTAATCCCATAATCCCATGATTCCAATCCCACATGATCCCAGGAAATTGTGGGACAGGGATAATGCTGTGGATGGTCCATGCAGAGGGGACACGGACATGATCCCGTAATCCCATAATCCCATGATTCCAATCCCACATGATCCCAGGAAATTGTGGGACAGGGATAATGCTGTGGATGGTCCATGCAGAGGGGACACGGACATGATCCCGTAATCCCATAATCCCATGATTCCAATCCCACATGATCCCAGGAAATTGTGGGACAGGGATAATGCTGTGGATGGTCCATGCAGAGGGGACACGGACATGATCCCGTAATCCCATAATCCCATGATTCCAATCCCACATGATCCCAGGAAATTGTGGGACAGGGATAATGCTGTGGATGGTCCATGCAGAGGGGACACGGACATGATCCCGTAATCCCATAATCCCATGATTCCAATCCCACATGATCCCAGGAAATTGTGGGACAGGGATAATGCTGTGGATGGTCCATGCAGAGGGGACACGGACATGATCCCGTAATCCCATAATCCCATGATTCCAATCCCACATGATCCCAGGAAATTGTGGGACAGGGATAATGCTGTGGGTGGTCCGTGCAGAGGGGACACGGACGTGATCCCATTCTCCTGTGATCCCATCATCCCATGGTGATCCCACGATCCCAGGAGGTCATGGGACAGGGATAGCACTTGGGATTGTCTGTGCAGAGGGGATACAGACAAGATCCCATAACCCCATGATCCCATGATGCCATCATCCTGTGATTCCATGATCCCACCATCCCAGGAGGTCATGGGACAGGAACAAGGGTTCGGATGGTCCATTGCGAAGGGACATGGATGTGATCCCATAATTTCATGATCCCATAACCCCATGATCCCACGATGCCATCATCCTGTGATCCCATGATCCCACCATCCCAGGAGGTCATGGGACAGGAACAAGGGTTCGGCTGGTCTGTGCAGAAGGGATACAGACACGATCCCATGATCCCACCATCCTATGATCCCAGGAAGTTGTGGGACAGGGATAACACTGTGGACGGTCCATGCAGAAGGAACACAGACATGATCCCATCATCCTGTGATCCCCCAATCCCAGGAAGTCATGGGACAGGGATAACACTTTGGATGGTCCGTGCAGAAGGAACATGGACATGATCCCATAATCCCATGATGCCATGATCCAAGAAAGTTGTAGGACAGGAATAACATTTTGGATTGTCTGTGCAGAAGGGATTGGGACAAGATCCCATAATCCCATGATCCCACCATCCCATGATCCCAGGAAATTGTGGGACAGGGATAACACTGTGGACAGTCCATGCAGAAGGAACACGGCCAAGATCCCATAATCCCATGATCCCATCATCCTGTGATCCCCCAATCCCAGGAGATTGTGGGACAGGAATAAGGCTTCAGATGGTCTGTGCAGAAGGGACATGGACATGATCCCATAATCCCATGATCCCACCATCCTATGATCCCAGGAAGCTGTGGGACAGGGATAACACTTGGGATTGTCTGTGCAGAAGGAACATGGACATGATCCCACGATCCCAAAATCCCAGGAGGTCATGGGACAGGGATAACACTTGGGATTGTCCGTGCAGAAGGAACACGGACATGATCCCACGATCCCAAAATCCCAGGAGGTCATGGGACAGGGACAACACTTGGGATTGTCCGTGCAGAAGGGATATGGACAAGATCCCCTGATCCCATCATCCATAATCCCATGATTTTACCATCCCACCATCCCAGGAGGTCGTGGGACGGGAGTAACACATGATCCCTTAATTCCATCATCCTATAATCCCAGGATCCCAGGAAGCTGTGGGACAGGGATAATACTTGGGATTATCCGTGCAGAAGGAGCCCAGACATGATCCAAAATCCCACGATCCCAAGATCCCAGGAGGTCCCTGCTCCTCCCAGGAGATTTTCCCTTCTCCAAGCCCCCAGACCAAGCAGCTTCTCCCACCCCACCCCACATCGGAGCTCGGCCAGGACACCAGGACATCCCGCCTGGAAAAGGGGGCGGCTTTGATGGGAAAACCCACCTGGACAATTCCCATGGATCCCGGGATCTCCAGGAATCTCCTGGGATCTCCACCGGCTTTGGCTGGAACAGAGGAAATCCGCCCTCCTGGATCCATCCCAATCCTCCCCATCCCACCTCAGATCCCAAATTTTCCCGGCTCTGACGCCTGCTGTGATCCAGCTTTTCATTCCCAGCTTCCATAAATCCTCCACACCCTGGGAGCACCTTCTCCATTTTTCCACGCTCTTGAGAAACACCGGGATTTTTCCCGGCAGAAGAAGCCCAGACATGATCCCACGATCCCAAGATCCCAGGAGGTCCCTGCTCCTCCCAGGAGATTTTCCCTTCTCCAAGCCCCCAGACCAAGCAGCTTCTTCCCACCCCACCCCACATCGGAGCTCGACCAGGAGACAGGAACATCCCGCCTGGAAAAGGGGGCGGCTTTGATGGGAAAATCCACCTGGACAATTCCCACGGATCCCGGGATCTCCAGGATCTCTGCCGGCTTTGGCTGGAACAGCGGAAATCCGCCCTCCTGGATCCATCCCAATCCTCCCCATCCCACCTCAGATCCCAAATTTTCCCGGCTCTGACGCCTGCTGTGATCCAGCTTTTCATTCCCAGCTTCCATAAATCCTCCACACCCTGGGAGCACCTTCTCCATTTTTCCACGCTCTTGAGAAACACCGGGAATTTTCCCAGCAGAAGGAGCCCAGACATGATCCCACGATCCCAAGATCCCAGGAGGTCCCTGCTCCTCCCAGGAGATTTTTCCCGGCCCGTTTTCCCTCCTGGAGCACGACCAGGAAGATTTCAGGGAACGCTTGGAGCATTCTGGAGTGAAATCATCCGGAATTAACGGGGACATCCCGAGGGTGTCCCTGCCGCTTCCGGAGCCTCCGGAGCCGGCGGACGGACGGATCCGGCGCGGGGACACGTCGGGGGAGTGTCCAAGCAGGATCAGGCCAGGATCTCCTGGATACGGAGAGAGATTTCCCGGGAAGGTCGTGGCTGGTTCGGTCGGAGCTGCGTCGCTCCGGGGGGATGGGTTTTACCAGGACACTGGTAAAATCTGGGAATTACGGAATTATTTGGGTTGGGAAAGCTCTCGGAGATGGAGTCCAGGCGTTCCCAGTGCTGCCGAAGCCACCCCTGATCCGTGTCCTACCAAATCCACAGGGATTTAAATCCATCCAGGAATGGGGACACTCCACCATTTTCTAGGGCTGGAAAACCCTTTCCATGAAGGAATTATTCCCAAAATCCCATAAATCATTCCCAATATCCCATAAACCTCCCCTGGCGTAGCTGGAGGCCGCTCCCTCTCATCCCATCCCTCATTCCCTGGGAGAAGATCCCGATCCCACCCTCCTGGCAGGGAATTCCAGAGGGAGAAGCTCCCTCAGGATCCTCTTTTTTTCCAGGATTTTTCCCAGCTCCAGCCCCTCCAAATCCTTGGAATGAGAGGCCACCACCCCAAACTCTGGGGTGGGTGACCCCAAATGTGACCTTGACCCCTCCACCCTTTTTTGGGAAAGCCCCACTTTGGGCATTCCCAAAACGCTCATCCCATTCCATGGGCAATTCCGTTCCCACCATCCCAAGAAGTCTCCGACCATCCCAACCATTCCTCTTCCCATGGAAATTCCAGGGGAACGACAGGAAGGACAGGCCATGGCAGGATCTGGTGCACGGTTTATCAAAGCTGGGGTGGGGGGGAAAAAAAAAAAAAACAAACCAAAAAACTTGGGAAAACTGCGGGAAAAACGCTGGGGAAAAGCCCGAATCGCCCGGTTCCCAACCGGAAGCACAAACCCCGCCGGAGCCGCGCGGTTTTGCCGGCGGCGCTCACACAAAACTTGGGAATAACGCAGCTGGAAGAGGCAACGTTCTCCAGGTTTGTGTCCCTTCCCGAGGCCGCCATCCTTGGCGGGGGGGGGTCCCCAATCCCTCCCCGAATTCCGAAGGCTCCGGAAGCGGCTCCCGCTCGCCGTCGTTAAATAAACTCCGCTGTACAACTTCCACGGGGAAAACGCCGGCGGGAATTCCGGCTCCTCCCCGAAATCCGTGCGCCCTCGGCTCCCGGCACGCTCCAGGTCCCCGTCCCGCCGTGCCGCCCGCGGCCATCCGCGCTCAGAGGATGGATCCATGGACGCGCCGGGATGGATCCCGCCGGATCCGCGCCCCCCCCCTACCGAAACCCCTTTTTTTTTTTCCAAGGAAAAACCCCAAAACCCCCTTTTTTTTTTCCGAGGAAAACCCCACCGGATGCCTCCCGTCTTCCGAAGAGCGACGCGACACTGACAGACACGAGGCGGCTGCAGGAGGAGCGGGAAGAGGGAGAGCGGGAAAAAACCAACGGGAGGCGCCGCCAGGAGCCGACTCCTCCCGGAATCCGGAATTTTCCACCTCATTCCGAGCACGGCTTGACCAGCTCGGCCTGGAGCTTGGCCTGGTCCACGGCGTCCAGAAGGTTCTTGGCGTCCACGGCCAGGGCGTGGGAAGCCGTCAGCATCTGCCGCTGGAATTCCGCGCTCAGGGAAGTGCCGGAATTCTGCTGCGCCAGGCGCATCTTGCTGATGAGGTTGGCCAAGTCCTTGTTGAGGAGCTTCTGGGTGCCCTCGATCTGGGAGGGATTTTTTGGGGGGAGGGAATTTTTTCAGGGAATTCCGGGGGTTTTTTTGGGGGAAAATTTCCGGGAATGTCACCCCCCACCCCAACCCGCTGGCGGCGTTCCTACCTCGGTGCGGGAAGAGGACGGAAGGTTGGGAAGGATGTCGTCGACGCTCCCGATGAGCTTCCGTAGGGAAAGGCCGATGTTCTGCGGGAAGGAAGGGTTGGGGTGGATCCAGGGATGGATCCAGGGATGGATTCCTGCTGGGAATAGTTTGGGCGGCGGAGGGGAGGGTTCTGTCCGGGAGAGGGGAGTGGTGGGAGAATCTCCAACCGCTGAGCCAAGATGGAGCTGGGAATGTGGGAATTGCTCCCACCATGGATCCAAGGGAGGAGCTGGGAATGTGGGAATTGGTCCCACCATGGATCCAAGGATCCAAGAGAGCAACAGGGATTGTTGGAGATTCCACCATTGATCCAAGGATCATGGGAGGAGCTGGGAATGCTGGGATTGCTCCCACCATGGATCCAAGGAAGGAGCTGGGAATTGGTTCAAGGATCCCAAGGAGGAGAAGGAAGTACTGGAATTGTTCCCACCATTGATCCCAAGATCCAAGGGAGGAGCCGGGAATGTGGGAATTGGGTCCCACCATGGATCCCAAGATCCAAGAGAGCAACAGGGATTGTTGGAGATTCCACCACAGATCCAAGGGAGGAGCCGGGAATGTGGGAATTGGGTCCCACCATGGATCCCAAGATCCAAGAGAGCAACAGGGATTGTTGGAGATTCCACCACAGATCCAAGGGAGGAGCCGGGAATGTGGGAATTGGGTCCCACCATGGATCCCAAGATCCAAGAGAGCAACAGGGATTGTTGGAGATTCCACCACAGATCCAAGGGAGGAGCCGGGAATGTGGGAATTGGGTCCCACCATGGATCCCAAGATCCAAGAGAGCAACAGGGATTGTTGGAGATTCCACCACAGATCCAAGGGAGGAGCCGGGAATGTGGGAATTGGGTCCCACCATGGATCCCAAGATCCAAGAGAGCAACAGGGATTGTTGGAGATTCCACCACAGATCCAAGGGAGGAGCCGGGAATGTGGGAATTGGGTCCCACCATGGATCCCAAGATCCAAGAGAGCAACAGGGATTGTTGGAGATTCCACCACAGATCCAAGGGAGGAGCCGGGAATGTGGGAATTGGGTCCCACCATGGATCCCAAGATCCAAGAGAGCAACAGGGATTGTTGGAGATTCCACCACAGATCCAAGGGAGGAGCCGGGAATGTGGGAATTGGGTCCCACCATGGATCCAAGGACCCAGCAGAGGAGCAGGGAATGTTGGAGACTCCACCACTGGTCCAAGGATCCAATGGAGGAGCAGCCGGAAATTTGGGAATCGCTCCCTCTCACGGACACAGCCCCTTCCCAAGATGGCAGGAGCCGCTCCGGAGACTGATTCCCACCTCCCAGGGAATTCCAGGGAATTCCAGGGAATTGCTGCCTACCTTGACCACCAGGATGTATCCCTCGGGGGGCACCTGGCTGATCTGGTTCTTCAGCTGCAGCACGGCCCGCACCAGATCCATGACATTCCCGTAGACCGGATCGTCCGTGCGGTCCAGGTTGGCCGTGGGCGCCGGCTGGATGGGCTGAGGGGAAACAGGGATAACGGGATCAGAAATCCCGGGATCAGAAATCCCGGGAAAAATGGAAGATCGACGTCTGCCCGCAGGGGTCGTGGTGGTCCCAGCCCTGCGGAAGGTGGGATGGGGCTTGGAGCAACCTGGGAGAGGGAATTATTCCATGTCCGTGGAATGGGGTGGGATTGGAGGTTCGTGGATCCCATCCCAAACCATTCCGGGATTCTGGGATCAAGGACACTCAGGATCCATCCCCAGGGATTTTTATGGAATTCTGGGATGGAAAAGGGAAGGGAGACCCTTCCTGGAGATTCCAAGTGAAGCCCCTGGATCCCGAAATTCCTTCTCAAGGAGGAGTCGGGATGGGGATGGATCCAGTGCCAGGCTGGGAGAGCTGGGAATGTGCAGCTGGGTCAGGGAAGGATCCAGGGAATCCTTGGAGCCTTTTCCAGAGGCTCCAGGAGAGCTGGAATTTGGGAAAGGGCTGGAGGGCCAGGAGCCAGGGAATGGCTTCCAGTGGGAAAGGGGAGCTTGGGATGCTGGGATCTTGGGAAGGAATTCCCGGCGGGGCTGGAATTCCCAGAGAATCCCTGGCAGTGTCCAAGGGAGGATTTGGATCACCCTGGGATGTGGGAAGTGTCCCTGGGGTGGGATTGAAGGTCCATGGATCCCATCCCAAACCATTCCGGGATTCTGGGATCAAGGACGCTCAGGATCCATCCCCAGGGATTTTTATGGAATTCAGGAAAAAGGAAGGGAGACCCTCCCTGGAGGCCCAAATTCCCAGGGAATTCCCTGGATCCTGAAATTCCTTCTCCAGGAGGAGTCGGGATGGGGATGGATCCAAGCCAGGAGAGCTGGAGAGGGATTTGCGAAAAGGGCCTGGAATGGCAGGACAGGGAATGGCTCCCACCATGGCCAGAGGGTCGGGATTTTGGGATCTTGGGAAGGAATTCCTGGCTGGGCTGGAATTTCCAGAGAATCCCTGGATCCCTGGGAATGTCCAAGGAAAGGTTGGATCACCCTGGGATTTTGGGATGTGATTCCTTGGAATGATCTTGAAGGTCCCTTCCCACCCAAACCATCCCAGAATTCTTTGGGAAATCCTGGTCAGCCCCGCTCACGATCCCGATCCCACCCACGATCCCGATCCCGTCCGACCCCTCCGGAGCTGGGAATGGCCGGGAAATTCCCACCCCGCCGATTCCGGAGGCGGAAAAGGAGGATTGGGATCCGTCCCAGGACTCACCTGAGCCCCGAGTCTCGGAGGCTTCTGGGGCGGCCCCGTGAATTGCGCTGTGCCGGGAAGGAGGGAAAAGGAAGGAAAATCATTCCAGAGGATCCCGGGGAAACGTGGGAATGCCGCGGAATCCCGGGATCTCAGCCACGTCCCCTCCCCGGCCTTCCCTGCCCAGTCCCAGCTTCCCACTGGATCCCCGATCCCGAATTTTTCGGGATAAACAGCTCGGGGAAAAATGGGATTTCACTGGTGGAGCATCCGGGGGGAAACGTTTCCAGGTGGGAATTGCGGGGTGGGAATCGGCAGGAACTCACTGTAATCCGTCTCCTTCTCCGGGAGGAGCTGAGCAGGGGGGAAAAAGCGGGAATTAGAGGCCCCAAAATTCGGGATGGAGGGAGGAGGAGCCCCAAAATTCGGGATGGAGGGAGGAGGAGCCCCAAAATTCGGGATGGAGGGAGGAGGAGCCCCAAAATTCGGGATGGAGAGAGGAGGAGCCCCAAAATTCAGGATGGAGGGAGGGGGAGCCCCAAAATTCGGGATGGAGAGAGGAGGAGCCCCAAAATTCGGGATGGAGAGAGGAGGAGCCCCAAAATTCGGGATGGAGGGAGGGAAGAGGGAGGAGGAGCCCCAAAATTCCGGATGGAGGGAGGGAAGAAGGAGGAGGAGCCCCAAAATTCGGGATGGAGGGAGGAGGAGCCCCAAAATTTGGGATGGAGGGAGGGAAGGGGGAGGAGGAGCCCAAAATTCGGGATGGAGGGAGGGAAGAAGGAGGAGGAGCCCCAAAATTCGGGATGGAGGGAGGGAAGAGGGAGGAGGAGCCCCAAAATTCGTCCCTGCTGGAATGTCGGGAAGGATCCTGGGATGCAGCCCTCCCCCCCCTCGGGATTTCCCGTTTTCCGGATAATTTTCCCAAATAAAGGAGTGAATGTTGATCGGAAAGGGAAGGAGGAGGTGCCGGATGTTCCCAAAAAAGTCTGGGATCGCTCACCGGGGGAATGTTGTTGTTCAGGAACACCTTGGGATCCTGGAAAAGGGAGGAGAGATGGTGTCAGGTGGGGGGGAAATGGGGAAAAAAGGAGGGAAAAGGGGGAAAAATGGGGAAAAAGGAGGGAAAAGGGGGAAAAATGGGAAAAAAGGAGGGAAAAGGGGGAAAAATGGGGAAAAAGGAGGGGAAATGGAGGGAAAAGGGGGAAAAGAGGGGGGAAATGGGGGAAAATGGGGAAAAAGAGGGGGGAAAGGGGGAAATGGGGGAAAATGAGGAAAAAAAGGGGGAAAAGTCCCGACCCCATCCCGGCCCCGGCAGCCGCATCCCGAATCCCAAATCCGCATCCCGAACCCGGCATCCGCATCCCGACCCCATCCCGGCCCCGGCAGCCGCATCCCGAATCCCAAATCCGCATCCCGAACCCGGCATCCGCATCCCGACCCCATCCCGGCCCCGGCAGCCGCATCCCGAATCCCAAATCCGCATCCCGAACCCGGCATCCGCATCCCGACCCCATCCCGGCCCCGGCAGCCGCATCCCGAATCCCAAATCCGCATCCCGAACCCGGCATCCGCATCCCGACCCCATCCCGGCCCCGGCAGCCGCATCCCGAATCCCAAATCCGCATCCCGAACCCGGCATCCGCATCCCGACCCCATCCCGGCCCCGGCAGCCGCATCCCGAATCCCAAATCCGCATCCCGAACCCGGCATCCGCATCCCGACCCCATCCCGGCCCCGGCAGCCGCATCCCGAATCCCAAATCCGCATCCCGAACCCGGCATCCGCATCCCGACCCCATCCCGGCCCCGGCAGCCGCATCCCGAATCCCAAATCCGCATCCCGAACCCGGCATCCGCATCCCGACCCCATCCCGGCCCCGGCAGCCGCATCCCGAATCCCAAATCCGCATCCCGAACCCGGCATCCGCATCCCGACCCCATCCCGGCCCCGGCAGCCGCATCCCGAATCCCAAATCCGCATCCCGAACCCGGCATCCGCATCCCGACCCCATCCCGGCCCCGGCAGCCGCATCCCGAATCCCAAATCCGCATCCCGAACCCGGCATCCGCATCCCGACCCCATCCCGGCCCCGGCAGCCGCATCCCGAATCCCAAATCCGCATCCCGAACCCGGCATCCGCATCCCGACCCCATCCCGGCCCCGGCAGCCGCATCCCGAATCCCAAATCCGCATCCCGAACCCGGCATCCGCATCCCGACCCCATCCCGGCCCCGGCATCCCCATCCCCATCCCATCCCTGCCTCGGGAGCCGCATCCCGAATCCCAAATCCGCATCCCAAATCCAGCATCGCCATCCCAACCCCGGCATCTCCATCCCAATCCTATCCCCGGCCCCTGCAGGCAAATCCCGAATCCCGAATCTGCATCCCAAACCCGGCATCGCCATCCCGGCCCCATCCAACCTCCGGCATCCGCATCCCAATCCCATCCCCGGCCCCTGCATCCCCTTCCCAAACCCGGCATCCGTATCCCGAATCCCAAATCTCCATCCCAAACCTGCCATCCATATCCCAACCCCCTCCCACCTCCACATCCAGGTCCCACATCCCGATCCCATCCCCGGGCCTGGCCCCGCTGTCCCCATCCCATCCCATCCCATCCCATCCCAACCCAACCCATCCCATCGCGGAATTCTTCAGGAATCCCCAAACTGGATCCATGCTGGGATTCCCGCTCCTTTCCCCGATTCCCGAGGGATGTTTTGGGATGGCGGGGGGGCTCACCAGGCTCTGGACCTCCTGGCGGAGCCAGCGGTGATCCTCCAGCATCTCCTTCTGCTGGCGCTCCATGGCGCGCTCCACGCGGAGCCGCTCCAGCTCCAGCAGCTGCTGCGCCTCCTCGCGGCTGCCCGGCCGCTGGAAATCCTCCTCCTGGGAGATTCCCGGGAAAAAGGAACCAACAAAAATTGGGATCGGGGATCTGGGGGGAGTGGCACAGAGGGGGGTTGATATTGGGGTGGG